TACAGTCATGGTTATGGATCATGAAACCTCATTTGCCAATAAATATTCTAGAGGAGCCAGGACAGAGACTGATCTTAGCTGTTGTGTCAGTACTGACCTTTTTTTAACTAGTGTGGACTGTTTGAAATAAAAATCTAATGACCTCCATCCTTATGAAAATGAATATGGTTTCACTGTGTACTGTGTACATTGTGAAATCAGTGTTTAGCCCGAGTATATCAATATTAAATACCCTTTTCCTGCAGTGTTTCCCACCTTAATAAACATTTATATTGTAGCTTTGCTATAACGTGCAAATGTGACTTCAGTGTGATTGTTAATTAAGAAAGCTAATGGGAGATGAGGGAATAGAGATTGCAGAGTCGGAGAGTTGTTTATCCTGTTGACAGCAATTGTGTACTCACTACCCTCCTCCCATTTATAAGCATCCTCCACTCCATCCTTTAGGCCAAAGATCATTTACTGTAGTCTGCTTTCCACCACTTCATTTTTGTCATTAGGTTTATTAATGCCACTCCACCATGGTTTCACTGGAGAAAGGGCTGAAATCCATGGACCCATGTGGCCTGGGATCAGATTATTGTTAAAAGGATGAAAGCTTTATTTTAAATTACACATCGAGGCATATAAGCCATATCATCATCAAATTACATGCTAAAACCCTGAGCTGATAGAGTTCAAGCCTATTAGAAATCCAGTGTTCATGCCCATATGGAACAAAGATCACATGGTATCAGCGTTAGCACATTCTGATTGGTTTCGAGTAACATACTGTATCATGTTCACTACACTAATTACATCCCATGACAAAAAAGGTGTTCCTGTTTGTGTGACTTCACACCTGCAACTCACAGTTTTCTTTTCAGCTTTGCTTGATGCAACACACCACATGGTTTGCACTAAAGACATTGAAATGGTCTTAGTCAGTGCAATGACATACTGTATTCCATCATCCATCCTTTGTGTCATTGTTGATGTACCAGATAAACAGCAAAGAGTTCACTGTCTGAAAATGTTCCTAAAGGGTGAGGTGGGTGTGTATACAGGGGCTGCGTCTGTACACGCATACACTAATGTAATCCAAACATCTAATTCCACAGAACAGTGTTTGTTACTACAGTGTTTGATTAAACAAGAAAAACTTATCACATTAGCAAATGTTTCCACACCTACGAGCACTGTGCAGAGGCACTGCACATTTGCAGAATTCTGTTGCATCATGTTGTTATGATCTTCCAGGCAGGGCACTCTTGTGGCATAGCTGGCATTTTCCATCACATAATGAAACTTCTGAAAGCCTGAGACTCATTTCACCCCTGACACTAAACCTTTGATGCTGCTCAACCTCAACCTCGGTCCATGGGCTTATATATCCTTCTTTCAGTCAGAATATCTCAGATGCAGAGGGCAGTCCTCCCACACACATGCATTTGTGGATCCTGTCTAGACATTTTCCTTCCACAATCTTTGTGCTCCATCTTTATGTTTATCCTTAGCACCAACATTTAGAGATGTTTGGGGATAACCCTGTCTGGGGACTGTTGTGTTTTTAAATAGAAGTTTAAAGACAGCAATCATCCTCAACTTCAACATGGTGGCTGTCACGTCTGTTTGAGTCATATTTAATATGTGTAATATGTGTAATATGTTCATTATATCATTGCTATCATTACCTAATCTTTCTTTTTTTTTTTTAAATCATGATTTTGGACCCTATTTTCACTTTGGATTGAATTTTATTTTATGCATGACCCAGCAGTGTGTTCTTGGTCTATATCGGTACATAAAGAC